GAGTTTGCCCAACCAGTCTACATGTGCTTTGTGGACTTGGCATTCGACCTCGTCCCTCGGGGAGCCCTGTGGGGGGTACTCCGGGAATATGGGGTACCAGGCCCTTTGATACGGGCTGTTAGGTCCCTGTATGACCGGTGTCAGAGCCTGGTCCGCATTGACGGCAGTAAGTCGGGCTTGTTCCCGGTGAGAGTTGGACTCCGCCAAGGTTGTCCTTTGTCACAGATTCTGTTCATAACTTTTATGGACAGAATTTCTAGGCGCAGCCAAGGTGTTGAGGGAATCCTTATTGGTGGCATTAGGATCGCTTCTCTGTTTTGTGCAGATGATGTGGTCCTATTGGCTTCATCAAGTGGTGATCTACAGCTTTCGCTGGAGTGATTTGCAGTGGAGTGCGACGCGGCCGGGATGAGGATCAGTTCCTCCAAATCCAAGGCCATGGTATTGAGCTGGAAAAGAGTAGAGTGCCCTCTCCGGATCAGGGAGGAAGTCCTGCCCTAGGTGGAGGAGTTCAAGTATCTCGGGGTCTTGTTCATGAATGAGGGAAAAATGGAGCGTGAGATTGATAGGTGCAGCGTCGGCAGTGAAGCGGGCGCTGTACCGGTCTGTTGTGGTGAAGAGAGAGCTGAGTCAAAAGACAAAGCTCTTAACACCCAGAGGAAGACCCAGGACATGCTGGAGGGACTATGTTTCTTGGTTGGCCTGGGAATGCCTTGGGATTCCCCCGGAGGAGCTGGCCCAAGTGGCTGGGGAGAGGGAAGTCTGGGCCTCCCTACTTAAGTTGCTACCCCCTGCGACCCGACCACAGATAAGTGGAAGAAAATGGATGGATGGATGGAAGTTCAACTGAGACCTTTACTATAATGTCGAGCAAACAAATAATTGTTTTTAGGTGGCTATGTTGTTAAATTTAAAAAAATTGCATAGTGAGTCGTCTCTCTGCGTGCTCCCTTGGCCGCAAATCGGCTTTTGAAATGCAGCTGCTTTGACCGTCAAAGTGCATTTATTAAGGAAAAGTTTAACTGAGACACACCTTTGCTATAATCTAGAGCAAATAAATAATTGATTTAAGTGTTAATCTTGTTAAATTCTTGTTAAAGTCCTCCCGTGCACGCTCCCGCGGACGTCATTTGGCAGCCAATCGATTTTTGGCACAACACCAGCCCACATTTCCATGTGTTCAGCGGTGATACGTAACAAAAACGACGCGTCAACAGTGATGCATAATAGATGTGATGTGTACGGCGAAGCAATCTATTTATGTTTTTTCCATTTTATTAGACATTTTTGGACTTATGCAACTTATACAGCGGTGCAACGTGTACAGCAGCAAGTATGGTATTTGGAGTAGTTCTTCAAATTTCCACTTAGTCTGCACAAATGAAAACATACTCATAGCTATATATATATTTAATTATATTTCCATAAATGCTACGCTCTGGACTTTAAGGGTTTTTCTTCACATTGTCCTCACTTGAAATGCAACAAAGAGAGGATGTTATTATCTTGGTCTCCCACTGTTCCAGTCGCAGCATCAAGTGCTCCTTCAGGCCATCGAGCAGCTCTTAGCTTTAATAGATGGCCACTGCTTCATGTTTCTGTTTGGACCTGGAGGCCGTGGAGGCAGTTTGCCTCGTGGCCTCCGTTAACTCGACACATCCATCAGCTCCATTTCCAGGCCTTGTCAGTGACGCTCGGGGAGCCATTTCACTTCATTATAGCAGCACGAAGATGAAGAAGTCTTTTTATGTCCAACAAAAACAGGCAATAAATGTCCCTGAAAGTCTCTGGAGCACCCACACTCCACTTGTTTATGTGAGGGAGATGCTGGTGGACCTCTGTGGCACAGCAGGTGGGATTCAGACTCAAGGTATCAGGAGAGGAAACAGGAAGGAGCACCCACTGCTTTTCTCAGCCACTGCAGAGAGTGACAGAGCGGCGGCACATGATATCTTTCTGCTAATTGTGCTGACACTTCTCTGAGAGCCCCCCAACTACACAGCCCCATCCTGTTTTAATGTTGTAAAAAATCCTGATCTCTTCTCACTCAAGCTGAGTGGGGACTTCAAGGAACAGATTGCAACATGAACAGCACCGTGTGCTGTAAACAAGGGCTCCTCATGCTGACGTGAACGCCAACTCACTGTTCTAAGACCGGACCACAAATAAGAACAGTCAGGGTGTTTAACGTGAACGTGTTTGTGGTTTGATCTAGATGGAGCCGGTGCAGAGAGATGCGCTCAACTTCAGCACCTATGTGGCCTTGTACAGCTTCAGTAGCCAGCAGAGCCATGACCTTGAGATGAGGTATACACTCACACACACTCCACACACAAACTTTAATCAAAACATACCATGACCCTCACCAGCTTTACTCGATGCAGCACCTTTCCAGGCCGGCAGGTGAAATTTTGCACTCTCCAACAAACTAAAAAGCCAAAGCTTTGCTCTGCAAACTAATCTCTTCGGTTACAACGAATCCACTTTACAGTGAAATTCCATTTGAAATGTTTTTACGAGACACTTCTGTGAGGAAGATCTGTTCTAGTTCCTAAAAACTACAATTATTATCTTATTGGAAATCATTAGATTCACATAAATAGCTTTACTTGAAGTGAACACTTTTTCTTGCTAGAGATTTAGTCTACGCTCATCTTAATATTGAGAAATGACAGTTGTAGCTGTTTTAGACAAACTTTGAATATAACATAATGTGCAAACCTAAAGAGTACATGTTGTGAATGACTCTCAGCTATATGAGCTCAATATCTGTAAAACTGTCCAAGTTATAGTCATTGTTGTCATATAAACTGTAGTTAAATGTAAATTTTGTGCACTCAGAAATCCCTCAGTGCACTCTGTTTGTGCTGAAGGTGTTTATTGTGTTTTCTGACGTATTAGCTCGTTGAAAATTTTTAATACTCATCTCCTCATGGTCTGATCTGCATCCTTTTGTAATTTTTTTAGCTTTTATCTCGCATAATTACTGAATTCAGAACAGCCTAGGTCACGGTTTAAAACTGATTTTACAAAAGAAACCAATTAGCTGGCTCTTTTATTGAACTTGTTCCCAGATGTAAAGCTTTAGTTCTTTGGAGCAGCCTCATTAATGTTACCTGAGTGTGAAAGAGAGGACGTTATCTGGTAATATCAGCCCTTATTTCTTTCCCTTGGATCTGAGAGAGATGGATGATGTTTGGAAACTCCATATAGCTCCCCATAAAGGTATTACAGTGTGTCAGTGGATGAGATGTGAGCTACTTTATTTCACAGCTACTGTAATACCAATTTGATTTATAGAGGTTAAAACAATGAGATAGTCACATTTTTTAGCCCAGTAGAAAAGTAGATGTCATCGAAAATTGGAAAATGGACAGCTGACAAATGGAGCTTAAATCACATTTAGCAAAAAGCACCACTTTGGTCTTCAGAATTACCTTCTTTCTTTTAATGCACAAAACTGATTCAGAGGATGGAAACTACATGAGATCTGGAAGTAAATATTTGATGATTGATAATTAATTAGATTTTTCATTTACAGTTGTTTCTTTCCACTTCAGGCTGATATTGATGTGTGTTATAAAAGTAATTTAAATGCACACGTTCATATGATTTATATTAAATAGCAGGAGCCCTGCTGTCAGTGATGTTGGATATGAAGCTATATTTTATGCATTTTCTACTACTGTATTTTAGAAGCTAATATTTCTGTATCAAATGAAATATCTGCTATAACTAGTAATACTGTTACACAGTAATACCAGCAGTAATATGTAACAAGTCAAAGAACACGAGGAGGAAAATGTGTCAGGAGACAGAGGGAGAAGAGGAAAGTTAAGGACTGAGGTTGGCAACTCTTAATGTGAGGACAATAACATTTAAAGGTAGAGAGCTGGCTGACATGATGCAAAGAAGGAAGGTAGATGTTTTATGTGTCCAAGAGACCAAGTAGAAGGGCAGCAAGGCTCACAGCATTGGAGCAGAGTTTAAACTGTTCTACCAGGTTTTACCAGGAAGGTGTGACGGGAAGATGGAAGGAGTACTTTGAGGAGCTAATGAGTGAATTGAATGAAAGAGAAAGAAGAGTAGAGGTCATAGACACTGTGGACCAGGAAGTGGGAAAGATTATTGAGGGTTAAGTCTGGAAAGCTCTGAAAAGAATGAAGAAGGGGAAGGCAGTAGGACCTGATGAGATACCAGTGGAGGTTTAGAAATGTCTTGGAGAGATGGCAATGAAGTTTTTGACTCAAATATTCAATGGCATATTTGAGGGTGAGAAAATGCCTGAGGAATGGAAAAGAAGTGTGCTGGTGCCCATTTTTAAGAACAAGGGTGATGTACAGAGTTGTAGCAACTACAGGGGAACTAAGTTGATGAGCCACACACTGAAGATCTGGGAGAGAGTTGTGGAAGCAAGACTTAGACGAGAGGTGACTATCTGTGAGCAGCAGTATGGTTTCATGCCAAGAAAGAGCACCACAGATGCCATCACCATTTGAGGATGTTGATGGAGAAGTACAGAGAGGGTCAGAAAGAACTCCATTGTGTCTTTGTGGATTTAGAAAAAGCATCTGACAGAGTGTCTAGAGAGGAAGTGTGGTATTCCATGAGGAAATCTGGAGTGGCAGAGAAGTACGTTAGACTGGTACAGGACATGTATGAGGACAGCAGGACAGTGGTGAGATGTGCTGTAGGAGTGACAGATAGCTTCAAGGTGGAGGTGAGAGTGCATCAAGGATCAGTTCTGAGCCCCTTCTTGTTTGCTCTGGTGATGGACTGACTAACAGATGAGGTCAGGCAGGAATCCCCATGGACTATGATTTTTGCAGATGACATTGTGATCCGTGGTGAGAACAGGGAACAGGTGGAGGAGAACTTGGAGATGTGGGGATATGCACTTGAAAGAAGTGGAATAAAAGTCAGCTGTAGTAAGACAGAGTGCATGTGTGTGAATGAGAGGGAGGAGGTGGAACAGTGAGGCTACAAGGAGCAGAGGTCACAAAGGTGCAGGACTTCAAGTACTTGGGGTCCACTGTCCAGGAAAATGGGGAGTGTGGTAAAGAAGTGAAAAAGTGAGTCCAGGCAGGATGGAGTGGATGGAGAAAAGTTTCAAAAGGGATTTGCAACAAAAGGGTGTCAGTCAGCAAAGGTCAAAGGAAAATTTAACCAGACAGTGGTGAGACCAGCTATATTGTATGGTCTGGAGACAGAGACGTGGACAAAAAAACAGGAGGCAGAACTGGAAGTGGCAGAAATTAAGATGTTCAGGTTCTCCTTAGGAGTGACAAGGATGGATAAGATTAGGAATGAGATCATCAGAGGTACAGCACAGGTTGAACAACCAGGAGATAAAGATAGAGAGGACACACTGAGATGGTTTGGACATGTCCAGAGGAGGGACAGTGGTTTGGACATGTCCAGAGGAGGGACAGTGGGTATACTGGTAGAAGGATGTTAGAAATGCAGCTGCCAGGAAAAAGACAAAGGAGATATATGGATGCAGTTAGAGAGGACATGAAGGTATGAGGACAGAGTGAGATGGAGGAGGATGACTCGCTGTGGAGACCCCTGAAGAGGGAAAATCTGAAAGAAGAAGAAGAATAGCCTCTATATTTATCTAAAAAAATAAATATTAATAGGCAGGATTAAGTCGAAAACACCTTTTTAATTTTTGCACACTATCCCTAAAGGGACTGAAAAGCCTAACAGCTCTTTCTCAAAGGTTTACAGTAAATCCTAATTAATGCTGAATCTTTGTTGTGCAGCCTTAAAGCTGCTGCAGGAATAACAGATATTTCTGAATTTCCTGCCGGATCAATAAAGTTCTATCTTATCTTATCTTATCTTATCTCATCTTATCTTATCTTATCTTATCTTATCTCCTGTATTTGAGGTTTCATCACAATAGTGCAAATTCTGCAGGTATTTGTGTTGCAACAGGGCCCCCCACTGGTTTTATTGTGTCATATTTGTCAACTTTTCTGTTTTAATCATGTCATGTTACTTTCTTTTAATTACAGAGCAGGCGACAGAATCTTACTGGTTGATGATTCTAATGAGGATTGGTGGAAGGTGAGTATGAAACCAGTAACTGCAGCACAAAGTGACGTGTGTATTTTAGCTCATTTAATTTTCTAATGCGATGCTCTGGTAGTTTGCAGTGTTTTAATTTTCCTTCAAAGCCAAAAAATTAACAAAACAGCAAAATAAATGAAACGATGAATAAATTGCAGGAAATGAAGCTGAGAATTATTTGAAACATTAGGACGTAAATGCATTCCTGATTAATTAGGTAGCGTAAAGGCATTACTGCAGAGGCCAAGAGTTGCTATCAGAGCATGAATAAACTCATCAGACTTTTAAATATATTTGTCCTCTGCGTTATGAAGATAAACAAAAATCATCTGAATGTTGAATTTTAAATAACAGACACCCAGTTTGGAGACAAATATTCAATCTTCATGTCCTACTGCTTTTTTAAAGGCCTTAATCTGTTTCTTAGACTAAATAATATTCAATTTATTTTTTGTGACCAAATGTTTGCTGATGTAATTTTATTTTGTTTAGGGGATAATTGAGGACAGGATAGGATACTTCCCAGCAGCCTTTGCTCATCAGCTGCAGGACGGAGAACAAGTCTTCAGGTGCAACAGGACGTTCATCGGCTGCAAAGAACAAGGACAGATCACGCTGAAGGAGGGACAGGTACTCAAAATGATCGATCTGAATTAAACACTACAATGAAATTGTTGGATTTTATTGTTATATTTCCAGCAATAATCTAAGCTAAAATAATTCCTACATGGTGTTTAAACTGTATGTGAAGTGTAAAAAGAACCAAGATGAAAAGAAATGTTAAAGTTGTTGCCATCATGGTAACCACAAACTGGTGTTTCTCACTCCCTGACAGCCAAGTTTTTGAATTGCAGACAGAAACAGACTAAAACATCAAAAACGAAAAGTTGAATTTGACAAATTCTTGAATTGTGAGCAGCAGAAGATGCACATGGTCACATGTCTATTTATTATGTATGCAGGTGATATAAAGTAAAAAAAAAAGATAATTCTCTTCAGGTTTTAAAGACAATATTTTAAGTTGACACAAACCTGAAGTCTGTACGAGTGTTACATTCTCTCTATGTTTTAGAGAAAACTCGTAAGTCCTATTACGATGCGAGACACACTGCGTGAACGGACAAAAATCACCACATTTTGATGCATAATTTAAATATGCACCAAAAAAAAATTGTGGAAGTGAGAAAAGTTTGGAAAAGAGTTGAAAACTTTGGACACATTAAAAGTTCGTGTGGCACCAACTGCCAGGTGAGCGTTGTACAGAAAAATCTGTAAAAGTCATAAAATGTTCAAACGTCTGGGCAGCACAGTGGCTCAGATTAGAGGTGCAATCCGTCCCAAAAAAAATCTGCCCCGACCCGGCCCCAGCCTGTAGCCATCATTTCCGAACCCCACCTGACCCGACGAATTAACAGTAATTATAGGTCCGAACCCCAACATTTTTAATTAAGCTTTAACTGCTTATATAGTTATTAACGGTCGGAGGACGTGCACGGCTAAGGGGGCAGAGGATCTGAACTGAGGGGGCGTTTGTCCTTTCATGGCCAACAAAGCACATTAAATCCCTGCTTCTGCCTGCATTCTGCATTATTCAGACATGGACCCCGCTCTGACATGTCGGATAATTTGGGATCTCACCTGTTTGGGTCGTCGGTGCGCACATCCGCCAAGTACAGCTGAATATTTTAATTTACACCACCACCTTCTAAAGAAAAGAACATAGATGTCTCATTTGTTTGAATGTCTTTCTTTACTTTAACTAAACTTTTATTTACCGCTTTCAAGGCCGGCAGGTGATTGTATGGCAAGCTATTTTGCCATATAATTGGATTGTCAGCCGCGTGCGTTTGCTGATGCAATAAAAAGCCCGACACCGGCCCAGCCTGCACTTTAAGCACATTATTATGGCCCAGCCCTAATCCGGGTCGGGCCAGGCTTCAGGCCCGGGTTAGAAATGACAGCTCTAGCTCAGCTGGTAGAGCTCAAATCTCATTGATGTACAGTTTTTTTAATGCAGCCTTTGTGCTGTGTATTGCTAAAGTGATCACATATGATCCTCAGCTGAGCTTAGTGATGTGATGTATAATTTTCTATGTTTTATTTGAAAGCTGAGTGATGAGTGCAGGTGGGGCTCTGCAGTGGTTTTCCACTGATCTCAGGTTTGTCAGCACGTAAACTTTCAGGTGCTCATCAAACAACTTTTGCTGGTCCAGGTCCTGAAGGAAAACGAGAGGCTGGTTTTGAGCACAGCTGCTGGAGCTTCATGCTGCTGCAGATGCCAGCGCTCATCCTTAATTAAAGATGACCTGGGTCATCTGTGTTTTGGACTGAGTGCAGGGTGTCTTTCTATAAGCCTTCATCAAATGGGGTTTCTTTTGGCCACAGGTTTCTATTGCTTTACAGAAAATACATTTATATTCTAAAGAATGCAGAAATCACTCAACATAAAATTAAACCCAGGGATGAAACCCAAAGAAGAGTTAAAAAAAATCTGTCTTGTTTCTCAAGAAAAATAACATAATCCTTGTTTGGTTCACCTTTGGAGCCAGAAAACAAAACACTTGAAGGATCCGTAGAGGACTGTTGTGGTTGGGGGGAGACAATGACCCTTTCCACGTCACACCTGAGTCTAGTTCCTGGTCACAGCTCGGCCTTTAGAACCCGTCAGGTTCACTTGATTCAGCAGCTGTTCCTCTGCTGCTCCCTCAGACACTTGATCAGTCGACAAAAAGTAGATCCCTCTCAGGAGTTACAGAGAAATTAGCCTTTTGACAGAACAGCAGCTCTCAGATCTGGCCCAATCGCTTTCCCACAATGCTTTATGTTTGGATTAAGTAAACCCCAGTGGGGATGAAACTCAAGCTGAATCTTTGACCTGCTGACTTTTCTTTCCATTTAAAACTCTAAGGAACATGAACTTGAGCTGGTTTGTGAACTGGGAAAAAGTTTTTGTTTTGATATATTAATGAGAAGGATAGAATGTGGATCTTTTTTTTTTTAATTGATATTGTTTTCTGAAAATATAGAGTTTGCGCTGTTTAACAAGAACCCTTTGTTTTAAAAATACATTTTGCTGCCCTAGTGTGCTTCACAAAACGTGCCCACATGTGAAAAATGCAGCAAAACTAGAACTCTGTTTGAAAAAACAGAATCACATTTGAAAAAATGGATTTACATTAAGCTGTCCTGGATGACTGAGACCAGCAATTTACATTAAGACAAACAGGTTTTTTTCAAATGTTTTTGATTTGCACCTTAGGGCCACCGTACATAGCTGCTGTTGTACTTTATCTTTCTGCCATCACAATTTAAAAAAAGCAGAAAAGGTGTCATTGACGTGTGAAGAATGAACTTTAATTAAAAAGTCAAAAACGATGCGAAGGAGGAGCATTAACATAATAAACATGACGTGCAAAATCATCTGACGGTTGATTTAGTTATTTTAGTGTAAAGAAGCAAGTTGAAGAAAATGGTATGAGCTGAAATTCAAGTTCTTTTTTATGTTTTTCTTCTGGCGTAGATCTGTGTGAGCAGTGAGGGCGAGCGCGGCGGCTTCATCAGAGTGGCCAACGGAAAGAAGAGAGGTTACGTCCCCTGTGACGTCCTGGACATCATCTGAGATGAAGAGTCAGAGCGATGAAGACAGGACGAAGGAGGGAGGTGGGATCATCCACCGGGGTGTGAGAGGTGGAGGAACCGAGAGGAGCTCACCTCGTCAGAAACACAAACTTCTACGAGCGGGGATGGTTTTGACACCAAAGACTCCGCTCTGCTGCAGCTCAGAGTGTCCCTCCTGGAAAAACGAGACATAAACCGCTTCATGTTTGCGAGGAGACAGGAGATCACTGTGTCTGTGGTTTCTTTTTTACATTTGAAGAGCCTCTGTGTTGAATTCATAGTTTTAAAACCATTTCTCCTTAAGAAAGAGCTGCTAACTGACTTTAAGCTTTAAAACCAGAAACAACCACATTTCCTAGTTAACTTGTTTAGTTCCCATACTTTTATACTTTTATATGTTCAGCAACAGAGAACAACCAGTGAGGATATTTGATTTAATTGGCTTTAATTGTTAATAAGTCATATAAACAGCGTTATTTGATTAATCTCACTCCACAAGGGTCATTTCTGGGATAAGCAATAATCACACCAAGTCACGTGAAGCATGTTAATATTTTGTAGAGATGTATACACAATAATTGCACTATGTCATCCTACTAGAGTAACCAAAAATGCTGCATGCCCTCAAATTCAGCATCAACCCTTCAGAACATGTTAGTTTTGATCAGACCCCCTGACGAGCCCAAGGCTAATCTGAGACATGTGGATGTAATTTATGCTTTAAAGTGCACGAGCCATTAATTGGACTATAAATTGTAACATCTAAACCTGAAAAAAGCTGAATAACTTTCATGCAAGTCTAGTAAGCATCTCAGTGTCACATCATGTTCTGCAGAATAAAGTCACAGTCAGTTACAGCTGTGCATGTAAACGTAGCCTCTGTTTCTGGCTTTATTGTGACATCTTGAAACTGTGCTGAGCAAAAGTATTGAGTCACACTTTATTTGTTTTCCATGAGACTTCTTTTTCACCAGGTGAAATGATGCGGATGACACGGTGGCGCAGTTGGTAGAGCTGGACATCCCAGCAAGAAGGTCGCTGGATCAAATCCCGGCCAGGGGTCTTTCTGGGTGGAGTTTGCATGTTCTCTCCGTGCATGCGTGGGTTTTCTACATGTACTCCAGTTTCCTCCCACAGACCAAAAACATGCATGTTAGACTGACTGGTAACTCTAAATGGACCCTGATGCGGTTGAATGGGATTGCATAAAATTTGATATGGATTGGACCCATTTTCTTTTAAGTATACTGTAGTGCCTTATCGTGACTTAAGCTGTTAACTGATGTTAGATCAATAAACTGAATTGGACTAAAAGAGCAACTTGGCTTCAATCAGGTGATTCCCTGAAAAGCCACGAGTCACATATTTATCTTACGTCAGCACGATGCAACGTCTTTCCATATATATATATATATATCAGAACCAGAATCAGTTTTCTTATCATTGTACCAAGATACAACGAGAGTATGTCCGTAAAATCGTCTGAAAGATGGGCGGAGTGCACGTTGCTGCTGCTCTTTAAGAGCGTGGCCTCTTATCCTTTTCCTCAATACTTTTAGGCTTAGATGAGAAAAGGGGAAGTTAACATGTGGAAAGAAGGTATAAAAAATAATATCTCTCACACCGTGTCCTAGACAGGGCACGGTTTGAGGCATAAAAAAAATCGACCACAGCAAAGCAACATAAATCGACATGATATATATGAGGCCGGTGAAGGCATTGAGTTTTAAGGGAAGCAGCATAGTCCAGACCCCCCCCCCCCCCCCCCCCCCCCC